TAAGTATGGGAGTCTATCACGTCTTTTAAGAGTTATTCTCCCTGAAAAATTTGTCCGTCTGCAATTCTTTCATTATTTATTTATGTGTTTCATCGTGCTTATTTCTCAACAGGCTTTGCAAATCATCACTTCAAAGTATTTTGTACTTTTTTAAATTCACTAAATATTTTTATTTTATGTATTTATTTTAGTGTGTGTCATACTTCAATTGAGTAATTTTTTTTTAAGTTTCACTTAATTAAGAAAGAACCTGGAAACGAAACTTTTTCAATTCTACTAAAAAAATTTTTTTTTCTTTAACTTAATTTAAATTTTTCTTATTCAGTTTTTATTTGAAATTCTTATTTTTAACTTGCGTGTCATTTTGAAATTTCCTTTCAAATTATTTTTACTTTTACTCCTATTTCATAAAAAAAATGTTTTCTTTTTGTTAGTAGTATTTTTTAACTTTTTTTAAAAAAAAGTTTATTCTTTTTCGTGGGAGTTATTTTGATAAAAGCGTAAGGCTATAAAGCTAAAGCAACTAAAATTCAATAAAATATTAACTGCTGAAAATATGTTAATTTTTAAAAAAATACTAGGTAGTTTGTAATGGTGTGATTAGTAGTTGGGTTGATCAAATATAGAAATGCGGCTGCGTGTTGCAAGATAATCAACATCCATACATTAAATTTAAACAATAAGGAAAAAAAGAGAACAATGAGAAACAATAGAACCAATTTTGTTTAAAGAAGAAATATATATATTAAACTCAACAAATAATACAAGTAGTTGTATATGCGTGAAAGAAAGGAGAAAAAGGTAGCTTCCCTTGACTGCAGGAAATGTCTTAAAAAGATTTGTCTGAGTTCAGTGTTGAAATGGAATATTTCTTTATAAAATTTTTTTCAATAGTTGTAACTTAATAAGTTGATTTAATTGGTGTGTCCACTGAGAACTGGTGGTGTGTCACATAAAGTTCTGTAGTGTGTATGCACGTGCGGAGTGAGTAGGATGAAAATACACGGGCGAGTAAATGAGAACTATTGTCTCTGGGTACCTCGACTGTGGTTCTGAAATTACTACTAGTTTTATTTGGAAAAGCATCCAATATTTATACTACCTAGGGAGGCTCCAACTAGAGACGCTATGGTACATTTTTGAATATACTTGAAAAATATCTGATTGGACGGAAAATGGACCAATCAGTGATTTTGTAGCATAGCATGTTTTGAAAAATGTGTAGGAACAAATTTACTATGGTGAAATGCGATAGATAAATTGTCCTGTTGTTTTTAAGTATATATTTACTGACCAATTAGAATTGGAGAAAATGTAGACGTGGCACTACAAGTTAAAAACCAAAATCAAAACGTTCACTTAGATTTTGTAAATTTATGTCAATTTCTAGTGAACCTTAGTTTTCAACACGTTAGGCGATCAATAAATCAACTAGTATGTCAGAAAAACAAGATCGTGTGGTCAAGAAATGCTTGTATACTACGTTTTATGCTATAAGTAATTAATATTTGTTTCAAATCAGATGAATTTAACTTTAAATTTGCTAATTTTCCTCAAATAACGTCACAAATATATATTTTAGTTTTGGAAGAATTGAAGAAAACTGGGAGTTAACTTTTGTTTACAAATGTATCAAAATGGCCGATATTTACCGATTTTTATCTACTTTCTGAAAGCGGCCAAAAAGGTGGGATTCCAATTAATATAATTTCTATTTGAAATAGACCAGAGTATTTTGCTAAGTGGAAATAGTAAATTTAATCATTTACCTTTCAATTAAAGCCAAAAAGAAAACTTCAAGAATGATGTTTCGTTTTAAAAAATACATTTTAAACCTTAGGTATTGAAAATTTAGTGGCGGTCTCAACATTAAAGGAAGGAGAATTTAGAGAATTTGACCCTCACAAGACACACTGACGGCAAGAGAGACAGGGAAAGCAGCGAATCCATGTGTTTGAGTAAATGGATGACAGACCAAGGATTAGAAGAAATAGCAAACGACAAACCTTACTAAGAGCCATAAAGGACATGAAGTTGTGGAGAGCCATGATCGCCAACGCCCTGAAAGGACACAGCACACAGAAGAAAAAAGAAAAATCAATGAGCGTTTATTAAGTTAGATAACTATTATTATTTTCAAATAATTGTTACTTCCCTTTTATCGCTGTGTATGTATATCACTTCAATGGATTTTTTTTAAGTGCGAATATTTGTTTGAGACAAATTCAGTCATCACACCAATTCCTTGTAGCTGAAATTGAGAAATTGAATACTTTAGAGTTGTTGGAATTGGTTCCTTTTTCGGTTTTTCAATTCACTTTCCATTTCAGTTCTTTTTGCAATTTATCAGTTCGTTTTACGGTTTTTCAATTCACTTTCCTTTTCAGTTCCTTTTTCAGTTTTTCAATTCACTTTCCTTCTCAGTTCTTTTTTCAGTTTTTCAATTCACTTTCCTTCTCAGTTCTTTTTCAGTTTTTCAATTCACTTTCCTTTTCAGTTCCTTTTTCAGTTTTTCGATTCACTTTCCTTTTCAGTTCTTTTTTCAGTTTTTCAGTTCACTTTCCTATACTGTTCTTTTTTCAGTTTTTCAATACATTTTCTATGTTAGTTTTTTTTTCAGGTTTTTATTTCGTTTTTCAGTTTTTCAATTTCATTTTCAGTTCTTTTTTCAATTTTTCATTTCACTTTTCTTCTTAGTATTTCTTTTCAGTTTTTCAGCCCACGTTGCTTTTTGGTTCGTATTCAGTTTTTCAATTCACTTTCCTTTTCAGTTCTTCTTACAGTTTTTCAATTTACTTTCTTATGATATGTAATGAGGCTGCCTAAAGAAACGCTAGTGAGCGTGGGAAATTTGTCCCGGCTTCCGCACATGAAAGGGTTGAGGTTAAAAATGCGACAAAATTGAAAAAAAAAAAAAAAAAAAGGCAACAACGGCTTGAAAGATTAGAGCGGGCAATTCTCTCTTTTTAGGCGGAAGAATAAAGACTCAAACTCCTGCTCGGTGTGTCACACTAAAGGGAGAAAATGTTTATTTACATGCACAAAAACAAAAAAAGAAAAAGGCTTACTTAAAATATTTCTCTATTCTTTGAGTTCTTTAAGCGATCATTATTTACATTATTCGGACTATTGTCCTCATCTTTGTCGCCATATTTATCACAACGTTTCGGCCGTTCTTTCGTCCAGTGGTTGGAATGTCGAACTGAACCCTTTATTTCGCTCACTGGGATAGACTGTTCTAGTTCCACGTTTGATGGATGTCAGTTATCTCCTGCTAATTTTCCCTCTGAAAGTTCTCCACTGCCTTAACCAGGTATTGAACTCACACTTTCGATCACACGCCGATCTCAGAGACGGTTGTTGAATTCTCACTGCCAAATAGGCGAAGATTCTCCGTATATATGGATATCAAGAGGCTCAGAAATATCGGGAATTTCTCCTCCAAAAAAAAAAAAAAAAAAAAAAAATTGGTATACAAATTTCATAGCCCTTTCATTCGTTAGAAAATATATCTTTATCTCTGATAAGAACAAATTTTTGAATGCCGGCAAGGGTCTGACAAGCTGCGACCGCCTCCCCAAGACTTCATGGCACCAAGGACAGGATAATGATGTTCAAACTCCTTTTTATATTTTCCAGCTTTCTCGTTCGTCAGAAAATATATCCTTATCTCTGATAAGGAACAAGGCTTTGGGAGCCGGATTGAAAGCAAGGGAAAACAGTTGTGGGTGAGGATAGGAAAAGCGGCTGGAATGTGAACCTGTAATATATTGCAGTCGTGGTTCTCAAATTAAATTCTAATATGAGAAAATCTTTAGAACAATAATTTAGACCAAGAAAAGGAATCGTCCAGAAGTTTCACGGCTAAGGACAATTACGATAAACCTTAAAACATCTCTTCTTCAACAGGAGAACTGTTGTCAAGTAAAGCGATTGCTCAGACAGTAATTTATTTTATGAAATTTATTTATGAATGAAAAATGGGGTATTTTTCTCTGTTCCCGATTAAGACATATTTTGTCAAGATCATCTTTTACGGTTAGTAAAAAAAAATGTGGGCTTTTTTGGACAAACTATGGCGTACTCTGGACTCTTGCCTTTTAAAATGTAATAAGGATATACCTGGAGACACGAACCTTCATCCTCACGTTATATATAATTTTGTATGATTCAACCACCATCATCATCGTCATAATCAACAGTATGATAATCACGAGAGCTGCTTCGACTTGAAAGTACACTGCAAATCAGTGTGATTTCTCCTCTTCAGCAACTTTGTAAATATATCTTATCAGTCCTCTCCACCCCGTCTTGTGTAAACTTGCATAAGTACTGAAGCTCTTCAATTTTTTTTTTTTTTCACGACGAATAATGGAATTTTATTGATAGGTCTTTTAATGACGTTGTTCAATTTGTAATCTCTATGGATGGTATTCTTTCATTTGGTATTGATGACAAAACCATTCCTATACTTTACTGTATCTATAACTATTAACTTGTGCTGTCAAACTAATATTAATATCAAGTCCTTCTTTGATTTTAGTTTCTTGGAGACCAAATACATCAATGTTATAGCTATAAACAACTCTAAGTAATAATTCCTGCTTTTCTTTTTCTCTTACAAATCATCTAAAATTAAATGTCCCGATGGTAAAATCTTTATATGCAATTGAAGGCATTTAAATAAGAATTTGCTAATTTCTAACGGTTAATAATGAGATAGTCATTACGTTCTCCGCTCAAACCAATTCAATTTGATTCAAGCCAGTGGAAATTCAAGCGAAAACAATAAAAGATACTTTTTTCTTTCTCTTTAACTGACCGGTTGTCAAAGGCAACAGTGACGTCGATTTCTTTTATCATTCTTTTTCATTTTTCCTTAGTGAAATTTGAATTTTGAACGCTAGAGATTTTAAAACAATAAAACAATAGCTTTTCTTTTTCAAATAAAAAAAAAATAAATCCGTTGGTGTCGACTGACGCCAGGAAACCGAGCTAACACACGGGAAAGCCTTCTCGATGGAGAATAATGTAGCCGCGGCCCGGCCCCGAAGATCCGGGCCAACGAGCAAAGCTATTTTGCCGTCTCGTAAAAACACGACGACCGCTGGAGTAACGGGGGGCAGGCGCGAGTGTCATCCTTCGTCTGAAAAACTATCTGGTCCCAGTAGGAGCAGAGCGACACGGTTCCTGCCCCTGACAGAAAGTTCCTTGGAGAAGATGGAGAGTCAAAATCGGACCAACCAGGAAAGTTTAAATGACCGTGTGAGAAGATGGTTGGCCGGTACAGAAAGCGAATCATTGTCGCTAGCAATGACAACTTCGCGGGAGAATCCGTCTCGCTTGAAGAAGAATGAAAAATAAAATCCTTCGCCATGAGAAGAAATGAAAGAACAGAATTGAGAAAAAGAACAAAAAAAAAAACCCCCCCAAAAAAACCCAAAAAACAACAACAACAAAAAAAAAAAAACAACAACAAAAAAAGACAAAACCAAAAACTCAACAAAAGAACAAAAAGAAAATACAAAACAAATCGCTGCGGAATTATCACAATGGAAAGTTGATTGTAATTTTTCTTTCTTTCATTTTTTTCAACATTTTTGTGCCTGTCTAATTGCGTTTTAAACTCTGCAAAATATACGAGAAATTACTACCTAAAAATAAGGAATATTTAACTAGATTGATCAATCGTTTTTTTTGCTATCGAGCTAGCTGTCATTTCTAGTTTCTCCTTCGGCATTTCACACATATTTTGTTTTCAATTGAGTTAACCGCAAGCAAGGCAATAAAGCAATTAAGACACAAGGGGTTACTGGGTGTGGTAGTATTGGAAAACAAAAACATTACTAAAGAGCGAAACAAAAGAGGAGTAATCCAGAGGAAATTAGATAGCTTCAGTACTTCCTATGTTTTGTTGCTCAAAGTAACTTTTGCCTCCTCACTATGGCTCTTTGTCCTTATCTTCACTTCTTTATATGACATACACTTTCACGATGTGGTTAATCATGGTTCTCCACAACTACATATGCATTGTGATTCTCAGTAACCTTTTTGACCCCTTACCATCGCCCTTTGTATATCCTGCCATTCATTTATTTCTCCATCTATATGCCATATCCTTTCACCGTGCGGGTGATGATGGTTCTCCACAACTTCCTCTGTTTCATTGTTCTCAACAACTTCCTTTTGCGGTCTGTCTATATTTCTGAGATTAGGTATTATGTAGATTATTTACATTATTCGGACTATTGTCCTCATCTTTGTCGCCATATTTATCACAACGTTTCGGCCGTTGTACGCTCCGGCCTTCTTCAGGTGGTTGGAATTTTGAACTGAACCCTTTATTTCGCTCACTGGGGTAGACTGTTCTAGTTCCACGTGCCATGTTTGATGGATGTCAGTTATCAGTTTTCTCCTGTTAATTTCCCTCTGAAAGTTCTCCACTGCCTTAACCGGGTATTGAACTCACACTCTTTGGGTCCTGTCACCTGGATCTAATCAACGCCTTTATCCACTGTGCCATGTGTCATCTCAGAAATATAGACAGACTCTGAAGGATCGGTACGGACCCGATATACCAAAAATAGACAAATTGAGAAATCCTACCAGAAACTGGCACGAATATCGAACTTCCTTTTTTTTGTATCAGTAACATTTGATCTCTTATCATCGCTCTCTGTTTTATCCTGCAATCCATTCACTTCTTCATCTATGTGTCATATTCTTTCACTATGTGGGTGATCGTGGTTCTCCACAACTTCCTGTCTTTTGCTGCTCTCGCTAACTTTTGATCCCTTAACTATCGTTTCTTGTTCTCTCATTCATTAACACAAAGTCATTTACGAGGTTACTCACTGTTTCCTCTGGATTCTCCTGTATTTTATGTGAGTGTTAAATTCTTTGAGCCGTCTTTCCTCATTATGTGTCGCGGAAAGTTCAGTTGTATTTCTCTGATTGTCAGTATAGACTTCCTTGTAGTTCTCAGTTTCCAAGAAACTTCCTTGTTGCTCTCATGTCATGTTTGTGGTACTTTTAGAATTCGTCGATACAACCACATCTCGGTGACTTCAAGTTTCTTCATCATCTGTGTGGTGATTGTCCAGCATTCACTGCCATATGAGAAATAAGATATTTACACAGCAGTTCTTTGTTTCTAAAGATATTTTCATATGTCGTAATAATTTATTTTTTATCATTTGTGCTAAAACTTGAATACAAACTTTTTTTTCTTCTCCTTTTTATTAAATTTCACCCAGTACAAAGCTCGAAAGCCATTCAAGGCAGAGGTTCACAGTTGAGATGATAATGATGAATGAGGTGTGAAGTATGAGTGGAAGAAAAAGCGGGATGAAGTGAAGACGATGATGATGATGAGGAGGAGGATAGATAACGATTGACGTTTAGCTTCAAGAGGTCAAGATTAAAGTGTTCAGGGAAGCACCCACACAGGAGTCTCTTCCACAGAGTTGCAGTTCTTGACAGGAAAGAGCTGCCTGAATGAAACATTCTTCTTTGGAGAACGGGGGGAATGAGGATGATTCGAATCTGTGGAAATAGCATGGCGTGCCCGAGCTGTAAAGGTCTGAACTGGCGGAACTAAAGAACGAAGTTCATCTGAACATTTGACATGGAAATAGCGATAGGCTTACAGCAAGGCTTACGGCCATATCACGTTGAAACGCCGGTTCCCGTAAGTTAAGCAACGTCGAGCCTGGTCAGTATCTAGATGGGTGACCACTTAGGAATGTCAGGTGTTGTAAGCTTGGATATGTGGGTAGTGTAATAGATAATGGCTCGAAATTTTTAATTGGAGAGACTGAGTTTCAATTCCAGTTGGGTTCGTTATATTAACTTACGCGTAAATACTCTTGAGAAATCCACCTTTTCTCCTCCAACTATGGGTTAATTAGTAAGACTTGTACCACTAAATCATTATTATTATTTCCAAAATATTTCTTACAATCTAAAAATATTTTCTGGTTTTAAAATAATCCACAACGGGTTGATAAACCGTAAAAAACGAATCACTCAAACCACTTTGCTTGAATCGTACCAAAACTGAGATACTATAATAAATTCCTCTCTGCTAAATCATTATCATCTTGTTATACTGGAACACACCTCTTCTATTGTTAATAGACTCTCCCACCTATAATAAGTAAGAGTAGTAGTAGCAGTCGCTCAGTGAGATGGTCAGTGAGTCGATGTCGGACGACCGTTAGTCGGATATTAAAGTATCAGCCACCACAACTAGATTGCTGCGTCATTACCTATTATATCAAGTTCCTAACGTTTTGTACGTCGAACCTTTTTTAGGACCGACTTAGTACAAATACAAGCCTCCACTGTGAAACCACTGCATAACACATCTAAAAAAAATCAAAAAAAAATCTGACAGTCTTAAAATATTTTTTGGTTTTAAATAAGCTGTAAAGTGTTGATAAGCCATAGAAAATGAATGAATGAATCAAGCGAGCTTACAACGTTGTGTCTGTATGGAAATAGGATGTAGAGTGGAAAATAAGTTTTCCTTTGAAATCTATCAAGGCTTGAAAGTGAGTATTAAACATTTCCAAACCCGATATGGCAGCAATAGTTTATTTGGCACTGAAGCGGATGAGATTTATTACAATTTTTCAGTATATCATCATCGTTTATCGGTCATCGTTTACGAAGTACAATTTTTAACGAATTAAAGTAACGAATTGAAACCTCTTGACCCACTTTCAAGCGGAACGGTTACTGTCTTGGTCACCATAAAGTGTTGTATTATATGCTTTGGTGCTTGCATTTCAAATTTCAATTTGTACAGCAGACAAGTTCTCATAATGAACTTTTGGGTGGTCGGGTTGATTTCACTCGTTAATATTGTAAGTATACTCATCTGAAGGTTATCTAGTAGTAAATGATGTTTGTAGGCTTTATACTTGCCTTTTGAAGTGTTTCTTTTTCCTTTTTCATTATCATCATAAGAGCTGTTTCGACTTGAAGATACCCTGCCAATCACTGTGATTTCTCACCTTCAGCAAATTTATAAATAACTATTACAAGTCCTATCCAAACTTCCCTGTTCTTTGCTAACCAACAAAATTGCTGAAGGTTTTCCAAGATCTCCAGAGTCTTTTTTTATGGGGAACGATAGAATTTCATTAATAGTTCTTTTAATGTGTTAAATGTATGTGGATGTTATTCTTTCATTTAGTTTTGAGGACAAAACCATTTCCTTTGTGCTCCGATATTAATATGAAGACCATTGATTCTGGTTTCTTGGAGACTGTATGCATCAATTTTTTATGTTATATCTCGAGCCAATAATGCCTGCTTTTTTTTTGCTCACAATTCTTCTAACATTAATTGTTCCGATGGTAAAATCTTTATATGCATTTTATTAATCGAGTTCACTTCAAGCAAGGCGGTAAAGCCACTAAGACACAAGGGGTTACTGAGTGTGGAAGAATGAGAAAACAGAAACATTACTTCAGGAACAAGATCAAAAGAAGAGTAATCAGGAGGACAGTAGATAGCAATTGCATTAAAATCTTTGAAGGTTAAACTTTACTGGAAAGCATGGAGCCAGAAGAGAAAATAAATTGTTAGCATAGAACTTACGGTTACAGCTAGCCATCTCAGTTATAAATTGATAAGACCGCGTCGCTAGTCTAATATTGCGCTTAAATTAATAGTCTACTTACCATAGAGAAGAGCTCATTCGGAAAAATTACCATAAAAGTATTTATAGAAAAGGCACAGGGAGGCAACTTTACGTCGGTAGGAAAGTGGCTGAAGCCGTGACGCCAGATTAACACCAGTAATATTGCTGATTCTTTTCTGGGTTTTGTTAAGGATCTCTAGATATATAGAAGGAGCACCGGACTATATGTGGCAGCAGTATTCTAAGCATGGACAAATGGTAGACTTATAAATATGTAAGACAGATTCTGGAGAGAAAAATTGTCTAGCGCAACACAGTGAACTAATTTGGAGGCATTTACAAAGTTTTAAAGAAGTTACCAACTTTTAACGGTTGACAACTATAGAAGTCATTACTTTCTCCGCCCAAATCTTTTAATCTGTTGACTACCAGAAATCTGCCCTTACGAAATCTGACCTGAAATGCCAACCTAAAAATAGCTAACTTAGGCAATAAAATTTTTTTATGGGTTGATTTATCGCTTTAACTGAAGTCTTAATATTGTTTTCACACTCAAAATTTCACTGTGAATAAATTCCTTTCGAACAAGCTTGCAGCGTCTGGGCCCAAGAATTACTTTCTATCCCACTAGACACATCAAAACAAAAATGCTGGGATAATATAAAATGCGAGGCCAATTTTACTAATTTGAGGCTCTCTCTGGATCAGCATCGCCTCGCCTGTCTACTATCTGCTTCACAACCGAGTAGTGGGCGCCTGGCTCAACGCAGTGCCCTCTTCATCTACTCGTATCCTTTTAGATGATGAATGAACTCGGGTCGGAGCCGCGATCCGTCTTGGACACAAATTATGTGAGCGTCACAGATGCAGATGTGGAGCTTCCATTGATGAGTTTGGTTTGCATCCTCTCTCCTGTCGTCGTAGTGCCGGCCGCTTTCCACGGCATGCAGCCATTAACGACATCATCAAAAGAGGTTTGGATGCAGCTGGGTTCCCTTCCCAAATCGAACCCGTAGGCCTTGACCGGGGTGATGGAAAGCGGCCGGATGGCATTACCATTTTCCCTTTTAAAATGGGGAAGTCGTTGATTTGGAATGCGTCCTGTGCGGATACATTTTCGGCCGGTAATTTGATCAGTTCCGCGGTTGAGCCCGGGGTCTGTCACCCTGGACGCAGAGATGAAAAAATAGTTAAATATTCTCCTCTTGCTGATAGATTTTTTTTTTACTCCTGTGACAGTGGTGACTTCAGGGGTTATTGGCCCTCGTTCGATGGCGTTCCTTCGGAGGATTGGCGCGATTGCGTCTCGATTAAGGGACAAGCCTCGCGAAACGGAGTGGCTCTTGCAGCGTGTCTCACTGGCGATGATTCGAGGTAATGCTTTCTCCATCATTGCGGCTGGAAGAGGATTGCAAAAAAAATTGTTTATAGTTTCTGGAATTGTCATCAATGGTCAACTGAACTTGGTTTGTTTCAATTAATTTTTAAAATGGAACTAGCATTCCTTTTACCAAATATATATATATATATATATATATATATATATATATATATATATATATATATATAAAGGAATTGTGGACAAAGACAGAGTTTTGAATGAACTCAGAACTTATTAAATATTTTTCTCGTTAGGTTACGAGCTTATTGATATGACTATTTATGCACACACAAATTCCTTTTTGGCACCCGCAGATGAAAATATATCAGAAAATGCCATAGTTGATGTCATCACGAAATCTGCCAACCACAAGTTATCGCGTGGTTGGCAGTCAATCTGTTAAGCTGACAAGAAATTAACTAATCTTGTCTAATAAAATTCTGTTAGAAATAGATTTGATTCAGATCCATTCTGTTAATATGCTATTCCATCTTCTCTGACTCCTGTTAGATTAACTGCTTGTTACTATGCTTAAATTAGTCTGGCATAAGGCCATAAGTTCTTGAGTTTTGGGATTAGATATTCTTGGGTCTGTAATGATTGCACACCTCTTGGTTACTAATTTTTGAAAAATTCCAACCTTCCCGCTTTTATTTCAAGCCCCTCTTTCCTACTTATTTACTTTCATGGAAATTTCCTAGAAAAACAGCACAGTACTAAAAAGAACAATGAGACATGGATAGTGGAATAAGATCAATCTACTCTAGATGAAATAAAGGGTTCTATTTCAGATTCCTTAAAGGTTGGCTGGATTGAGAAACACCTGTAGAAGGCTGGAGTGTGCAACAGCGGAAACATTTGTGATAATACAAACAAAGATGAGGACATTAGTAAATAAGCATAATTCCTCATCATTCCAGATATCTTTTCTACTTGAAGTGGATAAAAGATGACTAGCTTAAAATTGACTTTTTCAAAAAAAAAAAAAAAAAGGGGGACACAATTTGGATCCCTTGCTGAGAGATACATTTTCTTTAACACATTGACTACCAAAGATCAATTCAAAATCTGACTTCAAATGCCAACTTTATAATAGCCAACTTAGGCAATAAAAATTTTTATGAGTTGATTTATAGCTTCAATTAAAGTCTTAAGATTGTTTTCACAATATCACTACTGCTTCAGTTGGATGGAGCTCGACAGTCCGGGAAGGCGGTCCGTCTAGGGGAAGCAAAACCCTGATTTTAAGCCTTCGCTACCTTGCGGCCACATCGTGGTTGGAGCCCCGAAGGCGGTTGGTTGTCAACACTGACAACTTTCCGGCAATTTCTGCAACCAAGCCGACCCCCAAATGTAATGCCCTGGATTCTTTTAGATCTTGTCGCTACAAAAATAATAATAAAAAAGAGACAAGAGAAAAACTACTTCGCCGTTTTTCTTCTTGTCTCATTTTATTCATTTTGTCTTTTCTACAGATACACTCAATCTGAGAATATATATATATATATATATATATATATATATATATATATATATATATATAAAAGACATTTTTTATGTTTTACGTTGTTATTTATAGATACAAGTATTTAAGTAAATGCTCTGTTTATAATAAACAGTATTAAATAATATTTACCGGCCTGAATGTCCGAGAAATTTTCATAGAAAATATTCGTTCTTTGAAAATTTTCTATGAAAATTTCTCGGACATTCAGGTCGGTAAATGTT